AGGAGAGGCCAGTGCCTCGTCACTTCGCCAGAGTCCTGCATCTGCCACTCCAGCTGGGCCTCCCAGGGAGAACAGAACTGCTGTCCCAGGCAGGGTGCCACCAGCCTGCTTATCAGTATTCTTCTGCCATCATGAGCACAACGAGGGCTGACCAGCCCGTGAAGGGGTAACACCCCTGCCCCCGGCCTGTGCTGTCATTATACTGCTCCCAAACATAGCCAGAGTCCAGGTACTGCTGGAGGACGTTGCCAATGACATTGGCACGCAGCTCGTGGTACAGTCTGGCAGCCTCCTTCTGGTGGGGCCCCTCTAACTGGCTATAGTGATTCAAGGCCTTCACCGCGAGGTAGTTGATGTTGATCCAAATGGCTCCCCTCCAGTAAGGGGGGTCATGCTCTGTGTTGCGCTTGAGGTAGAAGGGGCTACTGCGTGACAGTGAACGCAAGCCAAAAGGCGTCCACAGCTTCTGCTCGTTCTTCATGTCGGCCAGGAGGCTGCCCAGATGCTGGGAATCGGGGCGCAGGAGCTGCAACAGCAGGGGGAAAAGGCTCACATAACCAAGGGCCCCTCCCACAAACTGCAACCTGGGCTGCTTGCGGACCACTCGCACCAGCCTTGGGATGGGTGAGGGCTGGCCAGCAGGAGGGGGTCGAAGGTGCTCACGCTCCAGGGCCACAGCCTGGGTATGGTTGCCATAGTCAGCAAAAGTGCCCAGCATCTCTGCCCAGTGGTGCTGATCAAGCAGCTCATTGTCCGCTAGCCTCGCAGCCATATGTGCATAGTCACTTGCCGGCTCTCCCACTCGCGTAGCCACCTCGGCCATGACAGCTGATGCTATGCCCATCCAACAGCGCAAATCTAGGTGGCGTTCATCCAGAGAGGGGTGGGTGGCCCTGGGATAATCATCCAGCCCAGAGGTCAAGGTTTTGGGGTTAAGGAAAAGCTGAGTGTCCTGGTCCCGGCCACGCCAGCGGAAGGTATAGGGCAAGGGTCCTGCTTGCGTGTGATTGTACCAGCTGTACCAGCTCTGCAGACGAGGATAGAGGCGCTGAAGGTAGTCCTGTTGCACCGCCCCCTGCCTGAGCAGCTGCTGCAGTGCCAAGAAAAACGTGGGAGGGTTGCCCGCCTGGCTGTGCTGCACCACAAACTCCGGGGGCACCTTCGCCAGGGCTTCATCACCCAGGATCTGCTCGCGTGGTATCCACCCCTCAGCGTTCATGAGATCAAACCAGTGAGCCAGCACCTCCTGGCTGAGGGCTGGGTCCCAGCGGGCCAGCAGGAGCTGGTGGAAACCTTCATCCCACAGGAAGCCACGGGGAAAGAAGGAGCGGGAGGGCACTGCTGTGAAGAGAGGCCCCGCCGGGTAAGGTTGGGGGGCCTCTGTGTGTGGGGACTGCACCAGTGAGTGCCCGTAGAAGTAGCCCATCCCGCCCAGCATATTGCTGAGAAGGGCCCGGGCAAAGTGCTGCTGCTGCTGCGAGAAACCCTTGCCGGCAAGCCCAAAGGTCTGCTCAAAGCGCCGCTCAAAGGCGGCCGCATGTGTGTCCAGCTCTTGCGTCAGTGTCTCCGCCAGGAGCCTCTCTGGGCGGTTGGCCACGCTGCCAGACTCAAAAGCCACTTCCACGCGGCAGGGCACAGGCACCGTCACCTGGTGAACCAGGAGCTGGCTGCGTAGCTCTCTGTCCCCTGCAGGGCTGTGGTACGCATCCACGCCAAAGTAGTGGCGCTTGGGAAGCCCTGGCGGAGCGTAGGAAAACCGCGGAGTCAGGCTCAATTTCACCACATCGGTCAGGCGATGCAATCCTTCTGCCTTTGTCTGCAGGTAATTATATCTAGTGGGAGAGAGAAGATAGTGGGAAATCACCGTGCGAGACATTGGCCCTTTGTTTCTTGAGCAACCCTCTTCTGTACCTGGCATAAAGGGGCAGGCCGGCCTCAGTGGTGGGCTGCTGGAAGGTGATGGTAAAGTTCCCCAGTTCCTCCGTCTGTCCTCTTAGCGATGCCAGCCGAGTCTTCTCTTCTATTAGAGGCTGCAGCACTCCCTGCCCATCGGTGGCCACGTAGAAAAGGAGGGAGATGAAGGGAGGCTTGGGCCCAGTCCTCTAAATGCATGAAAATGACACAAGAAAATCATTACAGGAGCAAACCAAAGCAAAGAAGACCCCCTTCGTTTCCTGCTTCCCTACGGCTGTTGCTGCAGTTGGGGAAAAAACTTTATTCATCTATAACATACAGTGTAAGGACTGTAACAACCACTATGTAGGACAGACAGGCACAAGGCTAGCTGAGCGCATCCATGAACACCAACTGGTAGTCAGAAGACACGATGAAAATTCCTTAATCTCACAATACATGGATAGACTGAACCATAGTTTCACCTGGGAAACTGTCAGCATCTTTTGTTGTTGTTGTTTAGTCGTTAAGTCGTGTCCGACTCTTCGTGACCCCATGAACC